ACTCCCCCCCCTACGCGTCTCTCCCCCTGTGCTTACAGCGAGGCTGACCCAACCTCCCCCGGCACGGACAAGGACGTGGACTATTATCAGCACAAGTCCAACAACCACAACAACTTCATGCCTTGGCGCACGGGCTGGGAGGCGGCGTCCGACACCAAGCTGGTTCGTTTTTTGTTCTGTTTTTGTTATTCCGCCGCTTTTGGCGTACCGCCACCTTAGAAGCACGTGTCCTTGTTTTGTTATTCCGCCGCTTTTGGCGTACCGCCACCCTAGAAGCATGGGGTATGTCGGGGGAGTTTTACCACCCTTTCTCTTGTGCTCGCTGTTCTCGCCTACTTTGTATAGCTACTCTTGTTTGCCCGACAGTTTTTTGTTTTCGTTTCCTGACGTTCCGTGCGTTGTTGGTGTGTGGCGTTTTCTTCGCTGCGCAGCTGGTGAAGGGTGTGAACCCTCCCCCGACGGTGACCCCTGTACCCAGCGAGGGATACCTGTGCCCCCCAAGGGAGGAGTACAACACCCTGGAATGGGAGCTTGCCCGTTGGATCGTGGAGAACAAGGTTCGTCTTTGTGTATGCGTTTGTGTTGTTCTTGTTTTTTTTGTCTTGGTTGCCTGTGTTGTGCTTTATGTTCGTCCGCCCATCTGTGCTTGGTCTTAGTGTACAATATTGGGTGGGGGTGTACAGGTGCTTGGTGACGCCGGGCCGTGTGTTCGTATTGCAGAGGCTGCGTTTGTTGGTGTGCTCGTCCAGCCCAAACCTGCTGGCGATGCTGCCGCTGATTTCGATGCTGCCGCTGCCGCTGCTGCTTCCGCCGCTACATCTGCCGTCTACAATTTGCTGTTGCTGCTGTGCGTTGTCTCGACTAGGATGCGGGTTGTCTTTCATTCCTAAACACAACCGTCGGGCGTCTTGCGTGTTTCCCGAAACAGCTTTCTTCGCGCCAAACGGCTTGTAGCATGACCCCACAAGTCTTTCTCGACCCTTTCACTTTTCGACTCTACCGGGCCTATAATAGGCTAAACACAGCTTTTGCATCTGCCCAGACTGCCGAGACCGACCGTGGACGTGTCGTGGGCAGACAGTATTTTTTGCTTTTCGGACAAAGAATCGAAATGGACACGCCGATGCCATCCTTCCGCTGTTGGGACCACTAATTGTTTTCGCTCACTTTGTCTGTTTGTTGTGTTTTCTGTGTTTTATAACTCTGTTTCTTCTGTTTTCCATTTATTGTGTTGGTCCTCGAATGAAGGTGGTGGAAGAGATCTTCGGAGACAGCATCCACCGAGAGGTCG